TTGGAGTCAGCAGGAGCTCGAAAGGAAAGTAAGATTCCTCCTCTGTGTCTGCCTTTGACTTACTACTTAACCTTGAGACCAAAGTCTGAACACTGGTTCCTTAATCCATAACCAGAATTTTGATCCTTCAGTCTCCCTCACAAGCCTCTTCTGTAAATCCATTCTTTTGAACAATGGAACACCTTTAGTGTCTTCAATAAAACTGCACACTGCAAACAAGACTGTTCTTTGAGTCATTCTTAAGAACTGGAAAGCATGCAGTGATTTGGGAATATGGCAGCTTCTCGCATGCCCCCTTCTGGTGGGTGGTTGCTATTCTCCCTGTCTCCAGGCTGCCAGGGAAGCGAGCTGCCAAAGAGCCTCCAGAGAGTAAAGGTTTGTTCAGGCCTGCCGTGTGTGTGGAGGGCTCAGCAGTTTATGTCGGGGGCGGGGTATCGGCAAGTGTACACTGAGGAGTGCGGCTCCAGCAGGGAGAGTTGGAAATGGGAGGATGAACACAAAAGCTCAGCTCGAAAACCCTGTAGGGGAGCTCCTGCTGCTACTTATTCCCTCTTTCCTATCTGCATGATAAGGACACATACTCCTGAAGGGCATTTGAAGTTTAGGATTAGAAGTGAGTTAGAGTCCTCATGGAACCTAGTGGTTGTTTAATCAGAGCAGAGCCTTAGCTTAGTGCCCGGTTGTCTAGATAGCCAGAACTGAGAACTGATGAACTCGGAAAGGAACACCTCTTAATCCGCCTTCGTCTCATCTCTCTCTCTCACACACACATACTTTTCATCAAGTTTTCCTCTTGTATCTCTTTTATCAAAAAGCCAATAAATAGTTTAAAATCAGAAATGTCATTTTAGAAGAAATAGATAACTACACGTCCTTAGGGGGAAAATAAAGCATCAGGACAGAGACATTTTAGGATGGTTACTGATATACTGGCAGCTGCTTTCTGTGGGTTTTTCCAGAAGAGTTGAATTCCATTATGTTCTTGAACTGCCCTTCAAAAAGTATTTTCTCTCCCGTGCAAGACTTTTCCCTCCTCTGTTTTCCCCAACCGCAAAATCCTCTTTGAGGCTAGCAACATACAGTCATGAAGGCGAAGGTGATTCTAAGGTGATGATGTAAGTGTATTTGATTCAGTTCGAACATAAATTATTTCCTATTTCCATGAACTTGCTCTGCCTGAGATCCTATAGTTACTAACGAATGCAGGGCCATTCCATACAAAAATCAGAGGTACGCTTAGTATCTTTGTAACACAGTAGGACCACAAAAATAAAAACCAAAATGACTGCTGCAGTCTCTGAGGCAGGTACCCTAGATTTGCTTTTCACTTGGCCACCTGACACCTACATGACCTTGGGCAGTTTGCAGCCCCTCTGGAGCCTCAGGCACCACCGAAGACGAAGACGGGTTAGATGCTTTATAATTTGCCGTGAGGAGAGGACAGAGCAACTCACCCTGCTGACAGAGTTTACCTCCTCCAGTTATGCTTAACTCTTTGAAAGCAGACCCTTATTGAGTCTTTCATCTGTCTCCCCAAATATTGACTGGTGAATAACTCTCCTGTCTCTCTGTGTTTTGTATGCCTAATTTTACCTATAATAAGTTTACTAAAGTTCAGGGTAATCTGCTCCACTCAGGTCAGGAAAATCGTAGCGAAGGTAAGAAGTAGTTATTTCATAGATCGTCTCTGCGGGACCCTCCCTTTCTCGTTTTAAAGGAGCTATCAATGCTTCCATGCACATGAACGACAGAATATTTGAAAATCAATGTCTTAGCAACACTCAAACTATGCATTCTGGCTTTATTTCCAAATTGAACTTTAAGGAAATTTCTCTTTGCAGAGAGACCTGAAAGAAGATGGTATATCTTCAGATTGACTTTTACCTTTAAGTAAGTGCAAGATTAAGTAGTAATATTCGCTAGGTTTATATTTTATTATCAACTAGCTAATATACGAGCATTCTCTGAAAGCATTTATGTCTTTCTTTAAAACGCCAAAAGACATCTGGTTTTAGAGTTTTTGTTTTCTTTTTCTACAGAAATGACATTAACAAAAAACAATGTGTTTAGGATCCTCGACACAATCCTTAGCTGATTTGCTACGATTTTCAACTGCCACTCACACAAGACAGGTTAAGAACTAGAGGTAAAGGCAGAGAAACTGTATTTTATGGTAATATTTGCTGATGAAAACATGGTGAAGGAAAGCTACTGCAGTACCACACAAAAAAAGCATAGTGTGTTCCTGATGATGTAGCCGGACCTCCTTCTGGGGTACCTTTCCCCAAATGGGACTCGTATCCCATCAGAAAACCCAGAGCTGAGATTCTACACTGCCCTGTGATGCTCAGATAACAACGGCACAAACCCAGAGAGACAGTGCAGACCACTCTCTATAGCCCTGAACTGCCTAGCACTTCTTCATTAGAACTAGCTGGGTTAGAGGTCCTGGCTTAAACATCAGAACAGTTCTCAAAAGTGAGCTCCTGTGAAACACATGGATGCCAGAACCTGGGAAGCACAGTTATTTAAAACACCCTTTCTAGCTAGCATTGGAGGAAAGCGAGGAAGTTGTTTCCAATCACAAAGAACTAGGTTTGTGAGTGCGCCTGTAAATAGCCAACAAAGTCTACCCAAGAGCTGAACATGGGTAATAGCTGAAAACAGTCTTACCTCTTCAAGCAAGAAGCCGGCAGACCTGCAAGTCCTTTGCACATCTTGTCGAACAGCGTGGATTTGCAACAGTGAAGAACAGCTGCAGGAGGAGCTGTGGCTTCTCTGTAGAGAGCACTTTGCCTTTTCTCCTTTAAAGATGCAGGCAGAATCCTCTGAGCGGCTCCCTCCCAAGCCTGCAGGAGCCTCTTTTATAGCCCAGTACCACCGTCCAGCCAATCAGATGGGAGCTCGGCAGTACCCGCTCCTCTGTCTCCCTCTGCCTCTCTCTGAAAGACATAAAGAAGGAAGGACTGACGCATCAACTATGCAAAGCCGACCAGCACAAAGCCCTCTTGCAAAGGAGACATACAGGGGGAAAAATGTACTCAATGCCTCTATCACTGAGGTTTTGAATTTTTAGAAAAGGACAATAACAACAACAACAACAGGAAGCCTAAAATGCAGAAAAATAGGGGGTTTATTCACTGGTCTGTAAAAACAAGGAAAGTTGCCCCTTGGAAAAAAAGGTGCCAGCATGCATGCTCGAGTTAATAACTTTGGGGTTAATTCCCAGAGTGCTTCCTCTTTGGGATTAGAAATACCATATCATTCATGCTCTGTGATCTGATCCTCACAATTACCAGAAGGAAGTTGGTAGGATCATCATTTCCAGGCAGTGATTTGCAGAAATTGCCTTCTCAGTTGTCATGCAAATAGGGTGTGGGGAGAAACAGCTAGAAGACAGTTATAGGCCCAGCAGTATAGAAAAACTAGCCTAGGGAAAATAGATTTGCTACTAATGTAATCAAACTGACTGTAGAATGCTTTTCTAGAAATCTTGCAAAGAAGAGAATTCAGCCTAGCACTGACCACGCCTGCCTTCTGCAAAAAGCTAAAAACAGCAGCTACAGCAGCTTGAGGTGAGGACCAGAGAGGGCGTAGGTGAACAAATATAGATACCAGTTCTTATTAGCAAATAGGTTTATGTCTTATGTAATTCGAAGTCTCAAAGTGGATTTCAACAGAGAAGGAAAAAGGGAGAGAGCAAGCAAACAGCAGAAGGTGCAGTTTGCCTCGAATATCCCGAGGCTTCGGAATGCACGTAAGAATATTCAGCGCTACAGGTGCCTCCTAACACCTGGGCAATTTGTATCTTCTGCATACGTTATCATGGTGTTGAATACTTCAAAGAATCATGCAGGTGTTTCCCATCTTATCATTGTAGCTCCAAGACCTACACTGGAGTTACAGAGGGATCCTCTTTATGTACGAAAGCTATAAGTCAGAGGAGGAAATGCATTATTATGTCTGACCAGAACAGCTTTGATTTGAAAGCAAATTCATCTCTGGTCATAGGCTGCAGTGAGCCGTACATCACATATAAGAAACAGAGGTGGGCCAGCAGGTAGCACAGTAATTCAGGTGCTGGATTCCCATATAGTCACTTGCGGTTTGAGTCCTGGGTCCAGCAGAGAGGTGGGCCAGCAGGTAGCACAGTAATTCAAGTGCTGGATTCCCATATAGTCACTTGCAGTTTGAGTCCTGGGTCCAGCAGTTGAAAAATCACAACAAATAAATAGATAAACAAATAAAATTTTTTATATAAAAAAAGAAACAGAGGCATCAAGTGGTGTAAGGGAGAAAATAAAAATAAATTGGAAAAATAAATTGGTTCCAACGAGATACAAAGATACCAAGATAGAAGGAAAATGGTCAAGATGAATGCCCTATGCATGCCCTGAAAACTCCATGCTGCCCCTCTATCCCCTATCCTGGCTAGCAGAGCAAGGGGATGACACAAATATGAATGGGTGGAGGGACCTTAATCTTCAGAGGATGCATTTAAATT